CATGGTATGTATATACAATAGAATATTAATCAGCAATTAAAAGGAAGTACTGATACATGCTACAATATGAATGAACCATGTTATACTAAGTGAAAGAAGTCAAACATAAATGGCCACATACTGTATGATTCTGTTTCTGTAAAATATTCAGAATAGGTAAATCTATAAAGAAGGAAAGAAGATTGGTGGTTGCCAGGGACTGGGGGGGAAAGGAGAATTACAAAATGACTGCTTAATGGATACAGAGTTTTCTTTTGGGGTGATGAAAATGTTTTGGACCTAGAAAGAGGTGGTGGTTGCACAACATTATGAATGTACTAAATGCCACGGAATTGTACCCTTTAAAATGACTAATTTTTATGTTATATCAGTTTCACTTCAATGCTTTAAAAAAATTTTTTTTTAAGTAAGAAGCACATGATCTACACAGAGAAAACTAGTAAAAAAGAAAAGGAAAGGGAAAAACATAAGTTTATTTAAGAGTACTCACAAGAAAACACTGAAGGAATGAAACTAAGATCAATATTTGGCACCAAATTGCTAAACTTAATGAAGCCATCACCTCTACAAACACAAGACAAATGTAGGCATATCAGGCAGGACAGAGCAAGATTTCAGAAGGAGCTAATAAAATGTAGATAACAGTGCTGCAGAATGCAAGAGGAGGGGATGGGGGGGGCTTTTTTTTAAATAAAGAATTCCAGAATAATTTAGCACTTTCTAAAAAATACAATAACAAGAGTTGGTGAGGGTGTATAGAAACTGAAACCCTCATATACCAGATAAAGGTTTGTAAAATGGTGCAGCCACTGTGGAAAAGTGTGCAGTTCTTTAAAAAGTTAAATAAGAGTTACCAAATGAACCAGCAATTCTACTCCTAGGTACAGATGACCCCTGAACAGCACAGGTGGTTAGAGGCACTGACTCCAGGGTGGTCAAAAATCTGCATATAATTATACAGTTGGCCCTCTGGAGCCACAGTTCCACATCCACAGATTCAACCAACCACAGATCATGTAGTAGTGCAGTATTCATTGAAAACAATCTTCATAAGTTGGTAGTACTGTAGTATCTGCATGTAAAAAAAAATCTGCATGTAAGTGGACCTGCGCAGTTCAAACCTATGTTGCTCAAGTGTCAACTATACATATCCAAGAGAATTGAAAACATATGTTCACACAAAAACTTGTTAACGAATGTTCATGACAGCATCATTCAATATAGCTAAAAAGTGGAAATAACCCAAATGTCCATCAACTAATGAATGGATAAACAAACTGTGGCATATCTATACAAGGGAATATTATTCATCCATAAAAAGTAATAAAGTATTAATACATGCCACAACATGGATGATCCTAAAAAACAGAGCAAAAGTAGCCAGACACAAAAGGCCACATATTGTATGATTCCATTTATATGAAATGTCCAGAATAGGCAAATCCATAGAGACAGAAATCAGTGGTTGCCAGGCGAGAGGAGCAGTGGCGGGGGGGCATAAAATGGGGAGTGACTTCTAATGGATACAGAGTTTCTTTCTGGGGTAATGAAAACGCTCTGGAATTAGATAGTGGCAATGGTTGCATAACCTTGTGAATATACTAAAAACCACTGAATTGAACACTTTATAATGTTAGGGTTTATGTTATATGAATTATATTTTAATTTTTTAAATGTTAAATTTGAACAGTTGGTTTGCAGATTGGTCATTTAAAATCCAAGATTCCTTTTCCTTCCGTATTTGTCTGAATTACTGAAAGTAGAGTGCTGAAATTACCAAAATAAAAGGCAAAGTGAAAAGCACAGGGCTTCCCTGGTGGTGCAGTGGTTAAGAATCCGCCTGCCAATGCAGGGGACACAGGTTCGAGCCCTAGTCTGGGAAGATCCCACATGCCATGGAGCAACTAAGCCCGTGTGCCACAACTACTGAGGCTGAGCTCTAGAGCCCGCAAGCCACAACTACTGAGCCCGCACGCCTAGAGCCTGTGCTCTGCAACAAGAGAAGCCACCGCAATGAGAAGCCCAAGCACCACAACGAAGAGTAGTCCCCACTTACCTCAAATAGAGAAAAGCCCGCGCACAGCAACAAAGACCCAGTGCAGCCAAAAATAAAATAAATAAACAAATTAAAAAAAAAAAAGCACAATACTAGCAGCACTGAGCCAGAGTCTCAGGTTAATGTCATCTGTATTGAGATTCCTATATTAGGTTGTGGTTTGGATTACATACCTGGAGGGCTCCCCCTTCCAATTCTCAACTTAAGAAACAGTGATTAAATTTCCCAAGTTGAGTCACAAATGTCATTGAAATCTTATCTCCTTCTCCACCTGCAAAGTACACCAAGGTCTAAAAGTATCAACCTTCTCTCTCCCCATTTTCTGTTCTTTCCACACAGAGGATCTTGGCTAGAGAAAAAGGAAAGCAATTTATTCAGCTAAATCATAAAAACTGTGAATGATCGACAGCTGTAAACATCTCTCTCCTCAACTACTCCAACTCTCTGGGCCCCAAAACAGTATTACTTGGGCAATTTAAGAAATCAAAGTTTAAAATATTTAGGGGTCAGCAAAGGTTGCCTGGAAGTTGATACTTTGGAGCAAGAATGCCACCAAAACCAACCTACTACTTAACAGCAGTATGCCCTTAGACTAGGCTTCCCTGCTTTTTCCAGTTTCATGCGCTATAAAATCAAAGACTCACTAATATACTATATACATCTATGAACCATCTGCATCAGAATTGGCTATGGTGCCTGGAGCACCCCAGACTTATAAAATCAAAATCTTTGCGGATGGGGTCCAGGAAACTTATTTTCAAAGTCATTCTTATATACACCCAAGTTTGAGAATCACTGTTATAAAAAGTTCCCAAAAATGCGACCTGTAGCCATTTAAAGTACAGGTAAAGCGTAAGACAGAGACATGATCACTGCCACTGAGAAATTTACCAGTTGAACTACGTACAGAACATTTACTACATCTGGAGCTCACTCACTGTACACTACTCCATTAAATATGAATGTGAGGTGCTGTATATATACATGTTACACAACATTAACTAGCCTAGATGACAAAGTAGTGGTGTACTTGTATTCAAATCAAGAAGAGGTTTTTTTCCAACATATTGAGGAAACTATGGGAGAAAAGACATTGCTTCTATTCTTATTTCTTCTGTACCTGAATAATAAAGGACTGAATTTCAGCTAATAAGGACACAAATGGAGATAACCCTCATTAAATCAAGTCTAAAAACTGAATATTTCCCTTCAGAGTAATTCCAATCATCAACATGCAAAAGTGGCATATAATTATCACTACTAGGATGGTTTTTGCTGGCATATGTTAATGGTTTTCACAATGGTGAAATCTTTACTTTTCTACCCTGTCCCCTCCCCAATTTTGCGAACAGGTGTACTCACTGAAATAAATTCTATTTCATGTAAGAAAAAACCTTCTTGATTTTAAACTATTTATACTGACACACTATAGCTCTGATTCTTTTACTGCTTCATGCTTAAAAAGCATTGAGACTCTCTTAAAAGTATATGGAAAGTTTCTGGTCTACAGCTAGGAAACACTTCCAAATTACTACCCAAGAAGATTTAATTTATATCATCTCTAATTTTATTTACAAAAACAGATCGGTTTTGATGATAAAAGCCCCAGTGTTTTAAAAATACTATCTAGTAACTCATTCAAAGTATTTATGGAGCATCTCCTACATACCCCAGACTGTTCCAAGAGCTAGGAATAGGAACACAACAGTAAACAAAATATACCAAAAAAGTATATTTCTCATAATTTATTATGTTGATGATCCAGAGTCTCTAGTCATTACAAATATTAAGGGAGGATTGGGCAGAATCTATACCAATCCCATGGCCAACAAAGGAAATGTGTTTCTGAAATAATTTCTATTGCTTTAACTATTGAAAAGTCCCTCCCGCCCACCTTAGGATATCTATGGTTTCCAAGGTTTCCAGTGTCTGGACATACTCTATTATACTTTTAACATTAAGTTCCCTCTCAAAATAGTTACACCCTACACATCAATTTTGTAGCAAGATGTAGCGATGAACCTCGTGGAAAGTGAGGAAACCGTCCCCTTTCCAACAAAAAACATCATTAAAAAAGGAAAGCACCTAAAATCAATATACTAAGTAATCTCTAAAATGCGTTTCTCTGAACTCTAGTAAAAAAAAGGCCTATGGTTGATTACTCTTCAACCAAGAAAAGCAGCAGGCAGAAAAAATGAAACTTATACTTCTCTGTCACTTCTAGAAATAACATTTATTTCTTCAATATTTCCGCATATAAAAATGTGTTATATATAAGAAATGCCAACATGAAAGGATCAGAGACCCTTGATGCCCAATTTAGATGGACGACAAAAACCACAGCCTACGCAGAAAAATTGGATACCCCTCCTAACACTCACAAACTCCAAGTACAAGTTGGTTTGGTTTTTTTTTGTTTTTAACTGCTTCGGCGTTCTCGAAAACTGGATTACACTGCAGGAAAACACTCAGGTGCACACAGTAGCGGCCTTCTCGGCCCCGACTCCGCAGTTCCAAAACTGACTCCGCAGCCCCTGAGCAAGGCAACGATGGAAACAAAACACCCCGCTGCCCTGAAACCAATCAAGAAGGGGCTACCCGCCCCGCAGTGCGGCCCCAAGTGCCCCGCGCGTCCCCCAGGCGCCCTTGGAAGCAGCGGCCCGCGAGCGAAGCCGCGCCCGGTCCCGACGGACTCCAGTTAGGCCCGCCCGCCCGTCCGTCCCGCCCCCGGGACCCGCCGGACCGCCGCGCCGGCTCCGCCCCTCGCCTCCGGGCCGGGCCCTGGACTCCAAGCCCCAGTGGAACGCAGCCCCGGGCGCCCAGGCGCAACAGCGCCCTCCTTCCACAGGCCGCGACGGCCAGTCCGGGAGCAAGCGCTGCCGCAGTCCCGTCCAGGCCCGCGCCCCGGGCTCTGGCCTGGGCGGAAGCCACCCTCGTCTCTCACCTGCGTTCCCACCACCACGATCTGAGGCAACTGGATGATGTCGGCGCCCACCGTGTTGAATACGTCCTGGAGCTTGTTGATTACAGGAATTAGCGCCTCCATAACTCGGAAAATACCGAACCCCCGCCCGGCCGGCCGCGGCAATGAATGGGGCCGCGGCCCAGAGCCCGCCTCCTTCCTCCTCTCCTCCGCCCTCTCCTCGGGAGCCAGCACCCATTGGACTCCGCCCCCCCGCTACCTGCCCCCTCCCGACAGGCCATGCGCCAAGAGGGAGGTGTGGGGAAACAAAAGCTGCCGGGAGTTGTAGTTCTGACGCGGAGGACCTCTGGGACCTACAGCTTCCAGAAGGCTGCGCGGCGCGGGCGAGTGGCCTATGAGGAGAGAGGGGTTCTTGGGGCGAGGATGCTTCCTTGGCTCCTGTTTAAAGATTAGGGAGCGAAGCCCAGAGAGTCGGAAGGAAGAGGTACATTTATGCCTATCCTCGAGGCAAAACCAGTGTGAAAATTCCGGATATGTGTTAAGTATAACGGAGTCTCTTGGTATCCAGGACGTCATTTCCTGATAAGGACACTTTTTCAAGTAGGGTGGGTTAGAAAGGCTTAAAGAAGAGCTCCATAGCCTCAGACACCCTAGCCACGTACGAAAGGTCTGTAGGCTGATACTAAAAGATGTGAGGTGCTGTTTTGCAACAATGCAAAACCAGCTCAGGTTAGAACACGAGGGTTCTCCAGGATATTTGTTAAAAATGTGTTTAGAAAGAATCTGAAAGTGTCAGAGTTTTAGAGGGGAAAGGCTGGGCCCTCATTCTCTATATTCTATATAAGTCTTTATTCACTGTGACCTGATTCCTGGCAAAGTGGAGAGCTGATAACTGCCTTACTAGTTGTTTGCTAAGTGTGCTTACTGTTCTATTCCTAAATGTTTTTCTTTTTAGACAGATAGTATCTCTCCTCTACTGTGAACCTCCAAAGGTTTCCTCTCTCAAAATAAAAAAAGGTGACATCTGAGCAAAGATCCAAAGAAAGAGAGGAGAAAGACCCCTTCCCTACTTGATTTTTTTCCATAGTGTGTATCTCCATCTAACATGCTATATACTGAACTTGTTTACTCTCTCTCTCTTCTAGATTATCAGCTCCTAGATGCCAGGGATTTTTTGACTCTTTAATTCACTGATGCATCCCTAGCCCCTGGAAAGGGACAAACAAGATAGTCCCAAACTCAGTACCCTCTGAGCTTACAATCTAACAGAGGATGACACCATTATAGACAAATGGATAAAGTGCTATGACTGGGTTTATTATGGAGTGCTTTTTCTAGTCTGAGAGGGGAGTGAAAGTTCAAGCAAGACTTCCTAGAAGTCACTAGATATAATCTCCTTGAGAGTGAGGCCTACCTCCAGTAGTGGAAGTTGTGCCCTGCACAACTTCACTGGGTACCATTAACCTGCACAGCCATACACAGTGGCCCTGGGGAATATGCTTGATTTGTTCAACAGAACACATGATAGACACTCAATAAATACTTTTTTTTTAATTTATTTATTTTATTTATTTATTTTTGACTGTGTTGGGTCTTTGTTGCTGTGCACGGGCTTTCTCTAGTTGTGGTGAGCGGGGGCTACTCTTCGTTGCAGTGTGCGGGCTTCTCATTGCGGTGGCTTCTCTTGTTGCGGAGCACGGGTTCTAGGTGTGCGGGCTTCAGTAGTTGTGGCACGTGGGCTCAGTAGTTGTGGCACATGGGCTTAGCTTCTCTGTGGCATGTGAGGTCTTCCCGGACCAGGGATTGAATCTGTGTCCCCTGCATTGGCAGGTGGATTCCTAACCACTGAGCCACCAGGGGAGTCCCTCAATAAATACTTTTGAACAAATGATTTAAATGTCATCTAAGCTAAGACCTGAAGGTCCACTAGTGGTGTTTTGGCATCAAGTTTTATGAACATTTCATTCTCTCTAATTCTTTTGTTTGTTTGTTTTAATTTCAGAGACAAAAATGAGACAAGAACTTCAGAACTTCAAAAACAGAAAGCAGACCAAAGAGATTTATTCCAAGTCCTTTTATTTTCTACCAAAGATAATATTATATAACAGTCAGATGTTACCCACTTTGTTTCTCAGCCCTCCATTGCTGGAACTTTTGTTCTCTTCTTTTTCTCTGAGCAGTCTATATTCCTTCCAAGAAGAAAAGGCAGACAAAAGGAGAGGGTGGGTTCACAGTGAAGCTCCATGGGCATAACCAGTAACTGCTTCATAGGGGCAAGGTGCCCTGGGGCAACAACGATGCAACTGCTTTTCCTTTATTTGTGGCACCAAAGGACATAGTCTTTTTTTAATTTGCTAATGGCAACGTTTAAAGAGCAAGCATACATATATTTCAAAAAGCGAAATGTCATGAATTTTGGATGGCATTATATATTTCCATTTAAATTATAAAATATCTGTTGGGATGGAACATAAAAAGCCTTGTATTAACATGCCTTAGGAACAATAGGGACTGCTTTTTAATTCTCTTTTTTTAGGAGAAGGAAGAATGATCAAATGGCCAGTGCTCAAAAGTCCTCCTGTCACCCCCACCATCACTTAGGTTAAAGCAGGATTGTCCAGTACTTGTCTAGACTCTAGAGCATTGAGTTCATCACTCACAGAGGAAAGAAAAGTGTTTGAGGCTGCAGAAACAGGAAGCGGCGATGCCTTGAAGAAGAGTGTCTCTAATTTGATGACTTTTTTTTAACATAAGGCAGGACACACTAAGTGCAATGTGTTTCATTGGAAGCAAACAAAGCAAACCTATTTGGATTTTCACATTTTAATTTCAGAACACTCTTGCTTGTGGGAAAGCCACTTAGCCAATTAGTAGGTCTTTCCTCATCTAAAGTAGAATAATGTGTTTTTGAGTGGGTTGCTATGAAATCACGTTAAGCTGTTATCAGATTCTGTCTCCAAAGTCTTTTTATTTGTTTGGTTGCACTGGGTCTTAGTTGTGGCACACGGGCTCCTTAGTTGTGGTATGTGAACTCTTAGTTGCGGCATGCATGTGGGGTCTAGTTCCGTGACCAGGGATTGAACCTGAGTTCCCTCCATTGGGAGCACAGAGTCTTATCCACTGTGCCACCAGGGAAATCCCTCCAAAGGCTTTTTAAAAAATTCTTCTCCTTCAGCCATCCCTCCCTCACTTTAGGTTTATGATTTAGGAAAGACAGTTTAGTTTCAAGTCACAGAAATTTAACTCAAACTAACTAATTTAACTCAAAAAGAGGAATTAACTAACTTGTATAACCATAGTGCTGATGTGGCCTTGGCCTCAAAAAATAACTGGAACTAGGGGCTCAGTTAGCATCAGAACTCTCTACCTTTTATCTCTGCTTCTCTCTGCATCATCTACCTCATTATCTCAAACCCCTGTATTCTTGTGAATGAGGAGGGTGGGCAGTGGGTGAGGCAGTTGGGAGATCTCACTGAGCAAGCTTCCTCAGGGCAGATGAGGTTGAGGGAATCTGGGGAGGAACTGACACTAAGTTTCCACCCTATTTCCCTGGCATAGGAGTTTCCTATTGTTGTTTTAACAAATTACCACAAACTTCGTGGCTTAAAACAACAAAAATGTATTATCTTACATCTCTGTAGGTCAGAAGTCCAACATGGATCTCACTGGGCTAAAATCATAGTATCATCAGGGTTGCATTCCTCTCTGGAGCCTCTATGGAAGAGTCAATACCCTTGCCCTTTCCAGATTTCAGACCGCTCACATTCCTAGCTCTTGACCCCCTACCGACATCTTCAAAGCTAACAATGTCACATCTCTTTGACCCTAACCCTTCTTCTGGTCATCAAATGTCTCTCTAACCACAGCAAAGATAGGTTCTCTGCTTTTTAAGGACTCATGATTAGATTGTCCCACCTGGATAACCCAGGACAATCTCCCCATAGCAAGGTCTGTACCTTTAGTCCTATCTACAAATCCTATCTTTTGCCATGTAAAATTCACAGGTTCCAGGGATTAGGGCATGGACATGTCTGAGGGGCCATTATTCTGCCTGCCACACCACGTTAAGATGATTGGTCTAGGGATGGACCTGACCCAAATAGGGCCTTTGACCTGACCCAAAGAGGGCCTTCTCTGAGAATTTTTTAACTTGAGTTAGCCAGGTAATTTTCTCTTTCTCTGGTTATGGAACTGTAAGTATGTGAGTCACTGACTCCAGAGATCATTTTTCCTACCACTTGGTTTTAGAGAATAAAGTAGAATCCTCATTCAGCATAAAAAAATTCCCCAAATCCAACAATTGTTCCGTACTTCTAAATGTACATATATAGTACATAATCTTAGATTCTAATCTCCATAGTTAATCACTCCCTCTTTTCCTTGTTGCCCTTTTCACACGATATTATTAAACTATTATTTATTGAGTACTTGCTGTATGTGAGGCACTGTGCTAAGCATTTTATGATGTAGAAACTAAGGCTCAAGGGGTTTAAGTAAAGTAGTACGTTTACGTAGCTAGTACGTGGCAGAGCTGGGATCAAAACAGGCTATTTGGCAAACTCTTAACCTATACACATATGTTTGTTCATTCATTCCCTCATTTATTCAACACATATTCATCAAGTACCATTAGGCATATGGATCTTAGCCAGACACTCTATTTGTCATGTACTGTGGACATGACAGTAACATGCCTTTCCCCCTTAGCCAACACTGAGCTCACTGAAGGTAGTAGTGGTGTCTTATGTAGCTAGTTATCTCTACAACCTAGTCTGATGCTTGTTACATAGTACCACTCTAGTGGACTTGGACTTTCCTTTTCTTTCACTTGGAAAAGCTGGAATAGCAAGGATTTAACCAGCTCTGAATAGGTACAATTGCAATTAGGATTTGCAGTCAAACCCAACAAAAACATAATGCAGCTGGCCTGGCATAGGACTCCTCATCATGATAGCTGCCAAGTTACTTTGCTAGGGAGCAGGCTGGCTTTGCTCTAACTTATAAAATCCCTAATGAGAGAGTTTATTTTGAATTAAATTAATAACTGGAAATTATTTTAATAGTTCTTGCAAAATATCATTCAAACTATTTTTAATAGCATAAGCATCCAATATCATTTTATGCCAACATTTTGATCATCAATCGTAGCAAAGCTGCCATCATTAGTGCCGTCAAATCATAGTGGAATGTGCAGATCTAATGTTAATATAAAATACACAACTCTGATGGGGAAGCCTCTTTGTCATATTTTGGAAACTGTCCATATTTTGCAAAGACAATAAGGTAAGCAGCTTTAATCAATTTGCGCTATTCCCCAGGCCTCAAGCTTAAGACAAACTTTGTCAACAAGTGCGGGGAAACTGTCGGCAGATGGCGGAGTCAGGTGGTTCAGAAGCCAGCAGTTGAATCTGGCAAGATACTGACAGCCCGTTAGAGGGCAGTGTGACAACACAATTAATAGTAAAGTCTTGTTTCTTCTTCCTATACTGTTTTCTTCCCTTTACTCCACACCCACACACCAGTGGAACTTAGCCCTTCCTTTAATCCTCCCACCCCCAAAACATGTGGCATATTTTACTAACTGTTTGAGATAATAGAGTGATTTTACATCACAATAATGCCAACAACAAAATAGTACATGTTAGGTATCCCTGTTCTTAAATACTTCACCTACCCTGTCTCTGGGAATTTCTCATTAGCCTCTTTTACATGTGCACTTCAGGTTCCCAAAATGTTGTTTGGCATTCTTAGAAACTCTTCAAACCTCCTTTCTCCTCTGTTTTTCAGGATTCCTTTTCATCTCCCCTATACCAGCTCAGAGCCCACACTTTATGACGAAGAGAAATATAGCTTTTCAGCCCTTGGTTAGCTGCCTTTGCATATCCAAAGGCTCACTGGTACACTGTGGTAAACAGAAGGGACACCTATTCAGGATTTCTTCCTTCAGCAGCCAGGCCTAGGAGAGACTTTGAACATCTCTCCTTTCTAATTCCCAACCAGTCCATCTAACCAGTAGTGGGCAGCATGAGTCATTTTGAGTTTTAAGAACCAGTTTTGGGGCTTCCCTGGTGGCGCAGTGGTTGAGAGTCCGCCTGCTGATGCAGGGGACACGGGTTCGTGCCCTGGTCTGGGAAGATCCCACATGCCGCGGAGCGGCTAGGCCCGTGAGCCGTGACCGCTGAGCCTGCGCGTCTGGAGCCTGTGCTCCGCAACGGGAGAGGCCACAACAGTGAGAGGTCCGCGTACCGCAAAAAACAACAACAACAAAAAAAAAGAACCAGTTTTCTAGAAATGCTATACAGTTGTGATGGATGATAAGACTTACACATCAATGACACAGCAAAATTAGTGAATAAGGCAGCATATCATAAAGTACTAAGTATATTATATATAATATGTATAAAGGTTTATCCAACAGTTGACTTTTTGTTTCTTTCTGATGGCTTTTATTTATTCTCATTCCTCTTCAGTTACTGAATGTTTGACTAAATGGATAAATGTATGTATGAATGAATGAATAAATGTTTTGCATATTAAATATACTTCATCTGGGCTAGTCAGGAACTAAGAAGTGTTGTTTTAGACTTAGTATAACATGAGGGAAGAAGTTCTGAATTAATTATCCTCTTTAAGAAGCTGTGACCTTACTCCCAACTTCAATCTATGAAATAGGAATAGTAACATAACTACTAAGGATGTGACCTACTACCAAAACAAAAGTAAGTTTTTAAGCAGCATTAGCAGTACTAGTAAACTAATGCAAAGGTAGAAAATTATATACATCCAAATCCCTACAGCAGTCTTAAATGTGTGCCTCTGTTCACACCACTGGCAAAAACAAAAGCAAACAGAACAAAAATGAAAACAAAAGAATTAATTACTATATTAAATACTAAAGATAGAAAGGTGATCAAAACACATTCATTGGCATTCCTCAAAACTCCTCAAATCTATTCCCTTCTCATTCTTTCCTCTCAAGAAGAAAATCATCAAGTAACCAGAATTAATATGGAAGTCAGCACATAGGAGATGAACTTAGCCTGGGCTTCCTAGATTAAACGATGAATAGGAGCTGACCTGTCAAAAAGAAGGGAAAGAACTTCCAGACCAGACAGAGGGAGCAGCCTGTGCAAAAGTGAAGAGAAAGGAAAGGACATGAGACATTCTGGATGCTTTAAACAGTTTCGTGTGTCTAAGTATAGGGCATGAGGTCTGTGAGGAAATGGTGAGTGACAAGGCTAATAGCCGGTCAGACCGAGGTGAACTCTTAAGAGTGAGGAGCTAGAGATGTATCCTGAAGGTAATGAAGAACAGAAGAGTGACCAAAGAGAGACATAATCTTATGAATTTTACAAAGATCACCCCTATCCCACTGAGTTGGGATGAAGTAAGGGAGAACAGGAAACCACATAGGGAGTACTGCAGTAATTCAAGTCAGAGATGATCGTAATATATCCTAGGGTGGTAATGACGGAGATGGAGACACCTGAACAAATGTAGGATAGATGCACTTGTCCGGAGAACATAAAGAAGAAGAAAAACTACCAAGGGCAGAATGGGCAATAGTATTATTTAAGAGGAGACAGAAGAAGGATGTTAAAGAAATAAATCATAAAATAGTGACCAAAAAGATAAAAGGAAAAGTAAAAGAGAATAGCTTGTTCAAAATGTATTTCAACCTCTTTCTCGTGGGCTTTTTCTTTAATTTTTTTCTTTTGCTTCAGAAGCTAAAAACTAAAGGCTACATTTCCCAATATATTTGCAACAAAGTGCTCCAGATTAATTTTAGTTCCATAAAACAGATGTATTCACTCACGGCTTAAATTCTGAACTAAATTGTGAGAGGATGGAGTTACACAAGGCATCCATTTTGCTTGTGCAGATCCTGGGAAGCATGACGTGGCTCTGGAGCTGATGGTTCTGATAATGCTTTCCTGATTCTCAGATACTGGCTGAAGTGATGAGATCCTGAGAGCCAGCTCCTGATTGTGGTACATATATCAGTAACCCTAGGTGTCCCAATTGTTCTGGGAGTAATTCCTGGATGTCTAGACTAGAGCCTGTTTTTCCAGTCATTCTAACAGATTCTTAAGCGTCTAATTCCATGTATTAAGTCTCTTTCTGCATCAGTTTGATAGATAAGTGTATTCATTCCCTAGGGCTGTTGTGGCAAAGTACCACAAACTGGTTGCTTTATGACAATAGAAATTTATTGTCTCACAGTTCTGGAAGCTAGAGTCCAAATCAAGATGTCAGCAGGATTGGTCTCTTGTAAGGGTTGTGAGGGAGAATCTGTTCCATGCCTCTCCACTAGCTTTTAGCGACCCGAAGCATTTCTTGTTTTGTGGCAGCATAACTCCAATCTCTGCCTCCATCTTCACATGGCAATCTGCTCCCTGCATGTGTTCTCATCATCTCCCTTCTGTGCATGTCTGTCTCTGTGTCCAAATGTCCTCCTTTTATAAAAGCACCAGCCTTGGGCTTCTCTGGTTTCACAGTGGTTAAGAATCTGCCTACCAATGCAGGGGACACGGGTTCAAGCCCTAGTCCAGGAAGATCCCACATGCCGTGGAGCAACTAAGCCTGTGCGCCACAACTACTGAGCCTGTGCTTTAGAGCCTGTGAGCCACAGCTACTGAGCCCACATGCCACAACTACTGAATCCTGCACACCTAGAGCCCGTGCTCCGCAACAAGAGAAGCCACTGCAATGAAAAGCCCATGCACCACAAGGAAGAGTAGCCCCCACTCACTGCAACTAGAGAAAGCCCATGCACAGCAACAAAGACCCAACGCAGCCAAAAATAAATAAATAAATAAATTTATTTTATTTTATTTTATTTATTTTTTTTTTTAATTTATTTTTTAAAAAGAAAAAGTACCAGTCTTATTGAATTAGGGCTCGCTCTAATGCCCTCATTTTAAGAGGAGACAGAAGAAGGATTTTAACTTGAAGGCATTTTTAACTTAACTACCTCTGTAAACATTCAATTTCCAAATAAAATTATTTTCTGAGGTACTGGTGGAATATCGTTCAATCCATAACAAGGAGTATGACAGAAATATTTGGTATTCTTTAAATGTTCATGTAGTTCTCATAGTTCCCAGCTTCCTTTGCAACTTGGTTGGGGTCACGTGACTAGTTCTGCAATAACTATGAGCAGAGGTGTTATGTATTTCTTCTGAGCTGGTACCCTGAACATGGAATTCTTGCCTCCAGAACTGTGAGAAAATAAATGTCTGTTGCTCAAGCCAACCAGTCTGTGGTATCTTGTTATAGCAGCTTGAGCTGGTTTCTGGTAAGACCCCTCTTTCTACCTTGCAGATAGCTGTCTTCTTCGTCGTCTTTTTGTGTGTGTGTTTAAGTGTTGATCTTGTTTTAAAAAATATGCAACGTTTCACAAATTTGTGTGTTATCCTTGTGCAGGGGCCAGGCTAATCTTCTCTGTATCATTCCAATTTTAGTATATGTACTGCCAAAGTGAGCACAATAGCTGTTTTCTCAGTGTGTTCTCACGTAGCCTTTCCTCTGTACACATGTGGAAAGAGAGAGCTCTCTGGTGTCCCTTCCTCTTCTTATAAGGATACCAGTCCTATCGGATAAGGGCCCCACAAGTATGACCATTTAACTTTAATCAACTCTTTATAGGCCCTATCTCCAATTACAGTCACACTGGGGGTTAGGGTTTCAATATATGAATTTAGAGGAGGCACAGTTCAGCCCATAACAATGTCATTAAATGAATGATATAAAATATAAAAAAGCTCACTGCAGAACGTACTCTCCAGATGAGTACCACAGTTAATAGCGTCTTTCTGTTCATACTTTTCACTGTCCAGATGCAAACATATAATATAAATTAGATCATACTATACATACAGTTCTATTTTTTCACTTAGAGTGAAAAAGTTCCTTTTATTATAGTTTTTCTTCACTTATTACTGTATTACAGATGTTTTCCATACCAGTGCATAAAAATATCAAAATATTCTTCCAAATGGCTGCATAGTAGTCTCTTATAAGGAATATTATAATTTATTTAACAGTTTTTCTCTTGGTAGATGATAGATCACTTAGAATTTTTTATTATGGACAATGTTGCAGAAAATATCCCTATACATTTGTGTATTCATAATTATGTTAATATTTCTGCAAAGTAGACTCCTAGAAATGAAATTGCTAAGTCAAAGGCTGTGCATCTTTAAAATCTAAATAGATATTGTGTGCTAGTTTAAGTATGTAGGAGTACCCATTTCCTCATACCCACCCTTGGGTAGTATCAATAATTTTACTTTTGCTAATTTAATCAGGTTAAAAAGGATTAATCTCCAAAATATACAGGCAGCTCATGCAGCTCAATATCAAAAAACCAAACAACCAAAGAAGATGTAGCACATATATACAATGGAATATTACTCAGCCATAAAAAGAAACGAAATTGAGTTATTTGTAGTGAGGTGGATGGACCTAGAGACTGTCATACAGAGTGAAGTGAGTCAGAAAGAGAAAAACAAATACCATATGCTAACACATATATATGGAATCTAAAAAAATAAAATAAAAAGGTTCTGAAGAACCTAGGGGCAGGATGCAGATGTAGAGAATGGACTTGAGGACACGGGGATGGGGAAGGGTAAGCTGGGACGAAGTGAGAGAATGGCATTGACATATATACACTACCAAATGTAAAATAGATAGCTATTGGGAAGCAGCCACATAGCACAGGGAGATCAGCTCGGTGCTTTGTTTCCACCTAGAGGGGTGGGATAGGGAGGGTGGGAAGGAGACGCAAGAGGGAGGAGATATGGGGATATATGTTTACGTATAGCTGATTCACTTTGTTATAAAGCAAAAACTAACATACCATTGTAAAGCAGTTATACTCCAATAAAGATGTTAAAAAAAAACACGGAAATTTCCTGTTCTTTATGTGTTTGATTAAAAATCTATCCAAAAAATCTTGATGCCAGTAACACTATCTCTATCCCAGTTGTGACAAAATGTCTCCAGACTTTGCCAAATGTCCCTGGGGAGGGAGGAGAAAGGAGATAAAAAACCAGGTTGAGAACCACTGTTCTGGAGTGTGTGTAGGCAAAGAATAGGAATACACCCTGGCCACCCCCCAATTTCCTTTCTCCTTTACAAATATTTTGCTGCTTTGGAAAGGCTTTTTATGGATACCTTAATTCCTTTCTCTCTTCCAACTGGATAGCTGTTTCTGTTTTCATTCTAGTCACCCCAGGACAGGCTGAAGACATACCCTAGAGACACTTGGTGAAGTCTGCAGCTGAGAGGAGAGCAGGAGGGTGTGAGGTCATGGGAGCAGCCCAGAGACGGAGGTCTCCTCTAGACAGGGCTTGTGGTGTCTGGCCTGAGCACAACACTGAAGACCAATGTTCTTCCCTCAGTTTTGACGGTTACAGTGGTTCATAAAAGGGGGGTGGGCAGGTACAGGAAGAAAGGGAAGAATCAGAATCATTTGGGAGAAAATTATACATCCTTGTCCACCTTCCGGCACGTAGAATCAGGCACATCAAAATTGCAGCAAGGTGTGGGATAGGTATGCATGTTTTCAACTCCACACAGAGTAACAGTCAGGTGTTACTTCCTCCCACTCTCTCCTTCCAGTTGAACCACCTGCCTAAGAGGTTTTCTGTGATAGACAAATGGATAAAGAAGATGTGGTACATATATACAATCGAATATTACTCAGCCATAAAAAGGAACGAAATTGGGTCATTTGCTGAGACATGGATGGATCTAGAGACTGCCATACAGAGTGAAGTAAGTCAGAAAGAGAAAAACAAATACCGTATTTTAAATTTTTATTTAAAAATAATTTTATTTAAATTTATTAAATTTATTTAAATTTTAAATTTTATTTAAAATGGTACAGATGAACCAGTTTGCAGGGCAGAAATAGAGACACAGATGTAGAGAACAAACATATGGACACCAAGCGGGGAAAGTAGCCGGGGGGTGGGGGTGCGGGGGTGATGAATTGGGCGATTGAGATTGACATGTATACACTGATGTGTATAAAATTGATGACTAATAAGAGCCTGTTGTATATATATAAAAAAAGAAGTTTTCTGTGATATATAACCTATTGAGGTGTAGCCCTCAATAACAAGTTAAAGATTTTTTTGAATCATTATTCAAACTAGTGAAAAATGATGAAAACACTAATTTGAAAAGATATAGGCACCCCTTTGTTCATTGCAACATGATTTATTATAGCCAAAATATGGAAGCAACCTAAGTGCCCACTGATAAATGAATGGGTAAAGAAGGTGTGGTATGATATAGATAATGGAATATTACTCAGCCATATATGCCAGTGCTTAAAGCATGATGTTAAATGAAGCTAATAAAACCTCAGACTACAAACAGTGGGTCCCTATTTTATAAACAGATACCTATAATTTGGGGATCAAAAATGAGCTGTGAAGGTCTATACCTTGGATTCAGGGTGGACATATTTGAGGAATTTACTCTGGTGTTTTTAAGGGAAGGAGAATAAGGGGACAGAATTGAGGGGGCAAAGGCAACTGGGAGGACCATAGAGCAGCTGCACTGTCAACTGTTATTTCCAGCAGAGCTGGATTAAGGGGTGGACCAGTAGGGGAGCTGTCCATGTTGCCATTGTAGGGGATGCTAAGGTATCAGTGAGCACTGTTGTGGTGGAAAACAGTGATATGGAGAAAATTGTATTTACCAGAATTCCTCTTAGGAACAGAATGTGGTTAAAATCAGTTGTCATAGCTCGAAACCCCCAGGGGGCACTCTTTAACAACAGTACATGGTCTCTAAGCTGCTTTTAGTGAAACTGGGTCCAGCTGATTTCCATCTTTTTATTTTGTGAATAGTAAGTATTAGGTTGGCCAGAAAGTTTGTTCTGGTTTTCTGTAAGATGTTACGGAAAAACCTGAACGAACTTTTTGGCCAACCCAATATATACAACTCTCTTGCCAAAACTGAAGAACCCAGAATACAGTAGAAGAGTTTGCCAGCTGCCCCAAAAGTCTTATTACTCAGTTCTTCCTTCTCTAAGTAAATGTTAAACAAGCATTTCAGTAGCACTAATTTTAAGAGGCACGAAATTATTACTGTACCTGGGAACCTGTATATCCCATTGGTCCCTCATCCCTGGCCTCCTTCAGAGCTCATAAAGATCAGGATTATTGGCAGAAACTGGAAGAATTTTTCTTTGTTGTAAGCTGGTTGTTATGTTGGCCAAGGAAACTTTTGAATTCTAAGATCTAAGCAGCCTATGTTGTATAATTGGGGCTCAGGTGACAAATAGTGATGCAAAATGCAGGAGCTGGGGATGCTCTCTTCTGTGTGGAGCCAAGCTTAACTGCCAGATAATACCCTGCAGCTCAGAGGAAGTTTGAATCTGCCGTGCTGCCGCCACGACTAGTAAATGATGGCAGGTGGTGAATGTCAGTAGCTCCTTAATAATGTCATGTTTCTTCTTAACTTCTAAATATATTTTTTAGGCTTCAGAAAAAAATGGAAAATACAGAGAAGAAAAGTTAGGAAAAAAATCACCCAGGATTCCATTTTATTTTTAAATTTCAGACATTGATCTTTGCTTTGGCTGCTTGAAGTCTGATTTTCTGCTCTAATCTCATACTGGTTTCATGGTTTTCTTGCTTTGGGTTCTGAATTGTGAAATGTGTAACTTGTTCTATTGCACCTTTTCTATTGTTGCTTGAAAACAGTAGCTCAGGTCCTCTGTGGAATTTAGGACTTTTAAAATAAATGAAGGTCTTCCCTGGTGGTGCAGTGATTAAGAATCCACCTGCCAATGAAGGGGACATGGGATCGAGCTCTGGTCCGGGAAGATCCCACATGCCGTGGAGCAACTAAGCCTGTGCAACACAACTACTGAGCCTGTGCTCTAGAGCCCGCGAGCTACAACTACTGAGTCCCGCGCACCTAGAGCCCATGCTCTGCAACAAGAGAAGCCACTGCAAAGAGAAGCCCACATACCGCAATGAAGAGTAGACCCCGCTCACCGCAACTAGAGAAAGACCCAAAACAGCCAAAAATAAATTAAAAATATATAAATTAAAAAATAATAATAATAAAATAAATGAAAATACATTAATGAAGGTCACTGATGCAGCCCTTGGTCTCTCTGTGAGAACACCAAATGCATGAAGGAGCTCTGGAAGTTGGAAAGGTGAGAGATTTTATCAGCTTGTTATCTCTTTTATTCTCACATGATTTTTTCCTACTCGAATTCCATTAGCATTTCTTGGATCTCTTAAATAAACCAATCATTAATAAATATCAAAACAACCAGGAACAATAATAATTCCTTTAATAAGTTTGAAACAATGTGTAACTTTATAACGTTTTAGATATTGATTTGTTCAAATTTCCACTCTGATTAAAATAGGATGCTTCTCCTGTTTTTCATTTTATAAATCTTACATTAGGTTGAATCACAGATGACAAGTGTGGGATGGGTCAGAAA